TACACAATCACAACAGCCAGAAGAAAACCCATCACCAGAGGCTCCCCCCCCCCAATTAAGCATTTCCTGCCACATGCCCCACCCTGATGTTCCAGAGAAAAGAAAGATGCCAGCTCCACGAAGCCCAATTCAAAACAACTGTTTGGGTGAAGCAATTCTGTCGGCCCACACATCAACAGCTGGCACAGCAACTGTGTTCTAAATGGGAGAAGCACTGCCACAAACCAGATGTGGGGAAATGACGACCCACAATACAGAGAACACTGAAATCCAAGGGCAAACAGGCCTGGATTCCTAGGTAAAAGAGTGAGTCAGCAAAGGAATCAACAGTTCGTGTGGGCCCAGCCCGGCCCAGCCCTTCAGAGACCTCAAAAGGAGAACGGAGCTGCTCACTTCCCCTTTCATCTTCCAGAGAAAAAAGCAACTGCCCAGAAGTGTGAAATAATTTATTTTTGTGAAGCAACCTCTTGGACACCCAACCGCCTTCCTGCCGGGAGACAAAAGAACCCCTCGCTCCCCCACTGCCTCGAGGGCCCGACCTTCACCCTGAACTCTCAGAGCCCATCAAACCGGGCACTTCCGCAGAACACGCAAGGAAGGAGGAGGAGGAGGGAGATTGGATTTATACCCCATGGCCCTTCACTGGGAGTCTCAGAGCGGCTTGCAAACTCCTTTCCCTTCCCCTCCCCACAATAGGTGCCCTGCGAGGTAGGTGGGGCTAAGAGAGCTCTGACAGAAACTGCTCTTTCAAAACGCTCTGAAAGAACTATGGCTTGCCCAAGGTCATCCAGCAGCTGCAAGTGGAGATGTGGGGAATCAAACCTGGTTCTCCCAGATTAGAGTCCGCGCACTTCAACCACTGCACCAAACTGGAGAGGCACTACACCAAACAGGAAGCACAGAGGCACACCTGTGCTCAGCACCCAGCTCAGTTCAAGCTGTTCCAGCGATCTAACCCAGCACCCCCCCAGCCCCCGGGATCCCCTCAGCCTCCCCAGCCACTCTTAGAGCCCAGCCCCATATCTCTGGCACAGACCTAAGTTTGGTCACCACCACCAGTGGCTTCAGTGGACATCGAAGGTTTTAACTCTGCTTAGGGAGATGCTGGCACTCAGAAGGGGGGGGGGCACCCAATCCAAGGAACACCCCCCCACACCACCACGCCTCAT